ATTGTGAGATTAAAATTAACGACGTAGATATGAAATTGAATTCGTTAGATTATAAGGTGCTCCGGAAAGTGCTTCTTAATCTTTAACTAATGTTGTAGGCCACTACAGACCGTAATTGTTGTTGACACTGTCCATCATCTTCCCTTTAGAAGTTCTGCTAATCTTAAGTCTGCCTAATTTAATTATCGAAAGTTTAAGAACATTGTCGTCAGGTCCTGGGTGTAGTGGCTCTTGAGGTAAAGTTGGTTCAAGAGCGACTCTACGAGATATATTGTGTGGGAGAATTTGTGTACCAGAATCTGTGTTAATAATCATCAGGCAGCGGATGCCAAGTTTCATTAAGAAGTTTGATGGTGGTAGTGAGAATTAGTACAAATAGAAATGATTTAAAGATGATGTTATTCGAGTGCAAAATTTTGAATGTTCTAACGAACTTGTTATGATTATCACATCATTTTACAATTTAAATAAACTGTACTTGGCTTTGAAGTATCTCCTGAGCTGGCTTCCTCATCTCACAAAGTCCTCAACCCCGTATTGGTCTCTAATGTTGATTATCCTCAGATTCTTCATTTCTACTAGTCTTAACTTTGTTTGTATCACTATTGGCAGGATGCAGGTCTTGTATACTTTACTATTCATAAGCAGGAGTTTATTCGATCCAATAGTATTTTGTAAGCAGTCTGAAATGCGGACGCTTTATTGGTCTGACTTCGCAGGACGTAAATGTATGAAATGTGTACACCCAAATAGGAAAACTCCATTACGTTTAAGAAGGGGGTGTTGTTGACTATCACAAGTGCTTACATCTTGTTGGCTCTCTTGCAATGCATGAGGTAGGCATTTAATTTTTGAAGTAAAGACAAATGTGTTCAGGGCTTCGTCCGCTTGATTGAATCGCTTGTTGTCTTTGCAGGTCATCTTTTGAATTAGAGATTATATATGTTATACAGATTTCCTTTTGTTATGGAATTCCACTGGTATTTCCGACTGGCATCGTACTCTGTTAAATAACTGGTCAGTTTTTCTCTTAGCTCTGTTCCTCCATATTTGAGCAATTCATTAGGTATGATGTCGGTTCCGAGAGATGTTCTGTTTTTTAGTTTTCCTTATTTGTCTTTGACTCGTGTGTTGCCTCTACGGTAAAGTATAGTGAAAATATTTTTCTCAATCTTCCTTTGACACCACGTTTGTCGGTACATACTCCATATCGCTGGTGAATATATTCCAATATTCTCTCTTTATAGCTTTTACTTACTTTATAGCTAAGGTTTAAGCTTTCCTCTTCTAGTTTCTAACCTTTTCGCAGAATGAGGATTTGTTGTTTTTGGTTGCATTGATATAAAATTTCCTCTTTCCGATGACATTTGATTTGAGGGGTTGTTCTAACAAGATCTTGCATACTACAAGGTTACCATTAAAAGTTACGGCTGTGTTGTTCGCCGATTCTTCATTTTAAAGATCTTAAAGTTAAAGTAATTATAACAGTTATTAAAATGTTTGTAACAGCTCAAGTTGTAGGTGGGATGTTGCTTTCTTTTATGATCATGATATTTCTCACTTATATATCTATGTTGCAAAGTAGTCGGATAATTTTTGGATCTTTTCTGTCAGAAATTAAATCTAGATCTTATTTAGTAATACATGTCTACATTTAATTTACATGCCACCATTGTTGAGACCTCGGACGGGTCAACGCAGACTGCCGAGTTCCTACTTGTGAAGATAAAATGTGCAGGCAATGCGGTTTTATTTGGCGCCTTTTATTGTCCTCCTCTCGCCAATTACTTTGATCAGGTGGAGGAGATCCTTGAGAGACACTCTCTTCATTTTGATACAATCCTTTTAATGGGTGATTTCAACACCTGCTTATTGAAAAATGATGCACGTTGTGAAAAACTATAATTTATAACTTCGTCACTAAATCTATTGATCTTACCCTCTCTGCCGACTCACCGCTCATCATCCTCTCATACTCTCGTTGATCTTATTATCACGTCTCGTCCGGACAATATTCTTACGCAGGGTCAGTTGCTTGCACTTCAATTTTCGAACCATTGATTTACTGTGCGTTGCAGTTACGACGTCAGGCTGCTTCCCGGCGCTCTGTGATCTCTCGTGATCTTCAAAGTATAGATTGCAGATTGTTGATTTCTAATGCGAGCGAAATTGATTGGCAGCCACTTTACCGATTGACTGATATAGATGCTAAGGTGGAACACTTTAATTCCAGGGTTCTTGACCTCTATGATAAGCACGCTTCGGAGAGGCGACGGAGAGTTGGATACATGCCGGCACCTTGGTTGAATGATGAGATTAGGTTTCTCATGCGGGAGCGCAATCGTGCTAAGTTATTGTTCAAACGTAGCCCTTCTGCTGCCAATCAGGAACATTATCGTGTGCTGCGCAACAGTTGTAATCGTATCGATGCAAAAAGACATTTTGGAAAACAATGCGATCACTTGGTGTTATAGAGTCTTCCATAGATCTACCCACTCTTGATGCTGCTGCTCTAGCGGAATATTTTTCGGATCCTCCTGTGGTGGTTGGTAACATAACTAGGCAGAATACTATTAACGAAATCCTTGCATCTACCAACGTGCTTTCCTTTTCATTCAGCTTGGTTTACAGATGCTGAGGTCCGGCATGTAATGTGTTAACTTACTCCAAGTGCACTAGTATCGAAGCGGATGATATTGGACTCAGATTCCTCTTACCTATTCTGGATATAGTTATTACTCCCCTAACACATATTTTTAACTGTTCTTTTGAACAGTCTATATTTCCGTCAATCTGGCGAATCGCCTATGTTATTCCTATCCTAAAAATTAAATCTCCGTCCCATGTTGGTGACTTTAGACCCATTTCTATTCTATCTACATTGTCAAAAGCTATTGAACGTTTAGCTTATTTACCGATTCAGAAATATCTTGAGGAGTTTAATCCGATTAACAAGTTCTAGTCTGGTTTTCGTGAGGAGTGTGATACTACTACAGCACTGATTAATATCACCGATGATATTAGATCTGCTTGTGATAACCGTTGTGTTACCTTACTAGTGTTACTTGATTTAATTAAGGTCTTTGATTCTGTGGACCATGCCCTCCTGTTAACTAGACCTTCTGCTATTGGTTTTACCTCTTCTTGTGTATCTTGGTTCCAGTCCTACCTTTCCTATCGGTCTTTACATGTCGGCGTGGAATCTGTACTCTCTTCTCCTGTTGACATTAAATGTTGAGCTCCCCAGGGCAGTATGCTGGGTCCTTTGCTCTTTTCAATTTCCATAGATAGTATTAATGATGGTATCTCGTGTAATTATCATTTGTATGCAGGTGATCTTCAACTTTATATTTCGTCAACTGTTAACAACCTTCCAGATGCTTTGTTGCATCTTAACAACGATCTCTCTAGCGTACTTGACTGGTCTGGACGTCATGGACTTAACCTGAATCCAAGTAAAACGCAAGCCATTGCATTTGGCACTCTCCCCTTGCTGGCACAATTTAATTCCTTAACTACCGTTCAACTGAGGCTTGGCGACACCGCTATTCCGTTTTCTAATACGGTCAAAAATCTTGGTGTGGTAATGGATTCGGCGATATCTTGGCGGCCACAAGTTGAAGGAATCTGTAGGAGCTTTTACTTCTGTTTCTATACTTTGAAAAAACTTCGCTGCTACCTTCCTCCTGTTGTACGTCGTAGTTTTTGCTATTCTCTCATTTACCCACACATTGATTATGCTGATGCTGCGTGTCCCGATCTGTCCGCAGCTCTTCGGGGTAAATTGGAAAGACTTCAGAACAATTGTATACGGTACATTTTTGATTTAGGAAAGTTTCAACACATTACTCCATATCGTAACAACCTGCAGATGATAACTTGCCAGAATCGTAGATCATTTCGTATGCTTACTATGTTGTACAAAATTGTCCATACCTGCTCTCCTGCTTATTTGTCTGATGCCTTTCACTTTTTAGCATCACAAGACTTGCCAATTCGATCAATGTCGGACTCTACACTCATGTTTCCAGTCCATAGTACTGAAATCTACCAGAGATCTTTCACAGTAGAGTCGATTGCGTTGTGAAACGATTTGCCTGCCGTTGTTCGCAATGCAGCTAGTTTAATAAGTTCTAAAAATGCCTTAAATCTATCTTTTACTGTACTTTCTTTTTGTGTCTATTTCCTTTCTTGTAATAACTGACTGTCGATCCGTTACATAACTCAAATATGGTCATTCGTTCAGTTTTATTAGCACATCATTTAGTATTACTTTTTTTGGTAGCCATAATTTATTTATTTAAAACATATACACTATTACCAGTTGGGTCTCTTGGAAGAAATCGCTTATTGCGATAAATTGATCCGTTTGTCATGTCTATATTTGTTATGAATGTATATATTTATGTAAATATTTGTTTTTGAGGCAATAAACATTATTATTATTATACAGAATATCATCTTCGTAACAAAATGTATTGAGTATACAAAACATTTTTAATAATAAGTAAATCTGCGAGGCACTACAAATATAACAGTATTGTATGAAATGAGTACAATATTCGTATAAACTGTACCTGTTGCAAAATTTTTAAATATTAAATTATTTCCACAATAAATATTTGTATAATTTACAAAAAATCCATTGTTTGGAAATCCTTTCATTATATAACTAACAAAAAGATATTGTTGAACCTCGCACAATAGCCTTCATTATTAGAGAAATCCCAGAAATGTCACTACTTGAATTACATTTTAAGTGGTGAGGTTGATTGCCCGCTGCTTTGTGTACGTTTAGTTTGTTTTATTTGTGTTGTTCCATTTACACTGAATAAGCTGGTGGGGCGCTAAACTTTGCAACAGTTGATTAAATTTACCAAAGCGATCCGTTGGATATATATCAAATTCAGTTAATTATATTCGTATCGCACTATCTCCAATGTATTAAAAATAACATTAGTTTTTAAAAAATCATTTTTGACTTTTCTTTATTGTTTCAGAAGAGAATCCCGCAGCCATGTTACACGCCAATACTTCTACAATCAACTCAACTTCAAACATTTTAATGATAATCTTATCTTTTTTACTATTTCTAAAACCAGTTATTGAATTAATCGTGAAAAGGTGAACGTGATAGTGCAAGCGGAAATAACTATTTTGTACATATTGTACGTATATGTAAATATTTTTGATGTTATCTCGAAATTTGTGTTAACTTCCGTCTACTATGATGTACGTTTTACTGTATTACCGTTTACTGTATCGTGGTAGTATATCAATTTAAGATCAAATAAATTATGAATAAACATTTGCGTTTACTTATTTGGACCGTTTTTCCTTAATTCAACTGAAATTTGTTTGCTTTTAAATCTAATAATAGCAGTTTTCTTCGTGATATAAAACGAGAACGAAACTGAAAGAACGAAAGAAAATAAACAGACATAAATAAGAAGGGGGAGATCTCAGAAAGAAAATGTTGCCAATTAATGTGAGCGAGTTTTCAAAGCGTTCAGATTTTGTTGTTCTTTATACAGAGAGTGGTTGTGTCGTTGTCGTTTTATTTCTTTTTGCTCGTGACCACCGGACACTTTCGTCGTCCCACGATTTCAAAGATAAAAGGAAACCTTCGAAATGGACCGAAATGTATTTTGGGATTCAAAATGTAGAACAGTTTATGCACGCAACAAACGTGTAGTAGTAGTACGTGGGATGTTTTGTTCGTTTCAGTTTATGTGTGTATTTCAAGCGTTTCAAAAAAATAAACACAAATCAAGTTAAATATTGATAAAACAAAATTTTCCTATTTCACAACACAATTAAATTTTTAATTTTTGTTTATTAGCCTTTTGCTTTGGATTGTAGATAAAATTTCAAACAAATGATGGGGTTAAAACAAAAATTGTTCAACATCGATAAAATATAACAATTTTAAAAACATTATTGCACGAAATGAATATCGTATAAAACGTTACTTCCCAGCTTTAGTGTCGAGGTGCATAAACTACTTTTTCAAAAACTGCTAGTCACAATCGCTATAATGATGTACACAAACTTGAATGTATGTTAAGAACTAACAACTCTTAGTGAAATTTTGCATCTTTGTAATTGGAGTTTCGCCCAACAGAATTTCGTAATAAGAACATTGCATACTAATAAGCAGTAATAAACTACTGGGCTGCAAGAAATCTTCTTTATTTCACAAAAATTTTGTTTCGTGTGCCGCGCTAGATCTTTTGTCTTATTTTTTTAATTTATCGTATACTTTATTATTTACAGACTCCATCTATTTCAATTTCTGAGTTTTACAAATTCTTTTTATTACATCTTCTGAAAATTTCATGATTTCAAGCCAATTTTGGAAGAGTTAGTATCACAAAACAGCTTATTTTTAGACATTTTTTGATCTAATTAATTCCAAAGTAATATTGTGATAAGTTTGATGTTATTAATTTTTCAGGTAACAATTTCTCCCTTCCTGAACAGTGGAAGGAGAACCAATTTTTGACCAATCCCAGTATTGTCAGTACATTTGATGAATTCTGACACATCTTTTACGAGCAATTCATGAAGTACCTCAGTAGTATCTCAGCAGCGGTTCTGATTGAGATCATGAATGACAGATGGTTACATGCTTTTGTACTTCTTCACATTTACACACTTTTCTATATAAAGTTCACTCTACGTCACATTACGAATCCGGAACTATGAGACAATTTGTTTCTGGTCTTCGACAGATGCTTATAAGGTATTAAATTAAAGCATGATCTTGCTTATGTTGATGTTTCTGCAATTTTGCAACATTTTAAGACTGTTTCGGAATGAAGTATCTCATGTGTACTGCAAGTTTTGATGATAACTAAGATGACTCTAATAAGTGTTTTATTAAGATAATTTATATCTATTTAATTTAGGTGTTGGGTGAACAATCATGGTGCTACCAGGTTATAAACACAGGGTGCTTGTAACTCTAAGAAACGCCAAATTTCATAAAGTTCTTGTGCAGTATGAGTACTTCTACCAAAGACATCTTTATTATTAATGAAATTTTATTCCCATAAATTGTAGTTTTTTTGTCGTAACCGGTATAATTAATTAAATATACATAAAAAATAAACTTTTGTATTTACAAGAACCTGAGTAACCAACTAAATTAAAAAATAAGTAGAAAAAATAATTTTCATATTCAAACATCTTTGGTAACATCTGAACTACAAAACATGATCACAGTTTAACTTCTAAAATGAAACTAAAAAACTAACAATCGTTTAAAAACTCCCTAAAATATTTAGGACTCCTTATTTTCAACACATTGATTCAATACAATTTTAGAAGATTCAAACGAAATAATATTTTCTCTGATTTCTAGGCGAATCGTTTTGACCGTCACCTGGTGCCTCGGGAGGTGCTATCTTCAAAATTCTGAAAATAGAAAATACCGCTTCTTATCTCTCTTGGTTAATTCGATTTCTAAGATCTGTCACGAAGAAGTGGTTGTTAAAGATGTTTGGCCAATCGTTTCAAAAAAGCAATTCTCTCTAGATGATCTGCGTCAGCACATGACTGATGAATGCGTTTGTTAACGACATATCCACAATTCTATAAAACAGAGCCATTGGCCAACGTTGTGTTCTTCTACTACAGCAGTATTTACCGCTCCTTTCGTCTACAGCATCTACACCAGACTTTGTGTTAATTAATTTCAGGCAAGTCTTCATCATCTTGTTTCGACTGATGCATTAAAGAAATAATGACGACTGGTTTATTTTTCTTCGACACTCTAAAAATCAATGTTTTATTATTTGTAAAGCCCAAGAAATTCTTTGGGTATTTTCCGTTTGTATCTTTTCATAGTTCCAAGGTAAGTATACTTTTAAGAAGATAGTCAGTAAGCTCTATTGAAGAGAAACAATTATCACTAATGATATTTCTGTTGCTTCCAAATAGTGACTTGCAAAGGTGAATAGCAGCTTGCGTTGGAATAGAAAACCGTTTTTCCTCATCTGTGACATTCTCTAATGAGTGCCTTTGCCACAATAAATATATGTGTTATATAAGCAATGAGTTCGCATCAGCAATGCATTAGACTTTTAAACAATATTTTACAGGTTTACTCATCTGTTTTTATTCTCGTCATTCTCTCTTCGTGAGTATCGAACCTCAAACAAGAAAATAAAACAGCAAATGTTTTCACTGACATCACCAGGCGAAACATTTCGCGGCCAGTCCTATCTATTGAAAAAATCGATTCAATAGCCTCGTCATTAGGTTTGAAGGTAGCAGAAGCCCCAAAACACCAGTATTTATGCGGAATTTGCTTCCTTGTATTCTATGCGATCTTAATTGACTTATTACGAAATTCCTGAATTTTAAAATTGGTTAATTAGTATATCTGGGGAAAAAATTTGCTCCCTTGCTTCAAGTGGTTCAATTTGTGACAAAGAATTTTTATTTCTCGGTAGTTTCAGTATATTCTGGGCCGGCGTTCTAACTTTTCGGCTTGGTTCAGTGACAGCTCATTTGTATCTGTTCTTTCCATAGAAATATTTTTTCTTGAATCACTTGTGTCACTTTTCTCTTTACTTACAATAGCCTGCATTTCGTCTTGGTCATCATTTTCACTATCACAACGTTCACTCGTTGTTTCGTGATCACTTATGACAGTATTCGCAATAGAAATAGTTCTCTCATTATCACTATCTTCAAACCATCTTTGTACGGTTCCCTCAAAGTCAGGATCTGTAGGTATAATCATTTTTTGATTGTCTTATATAATTGTTAATTAAGATCAGTACACTTGCCTTACCTCCAAATGGACGTCTATTGTACACGCGAAAGATTCCCCTACCATGGTAAGCTACTGAATACCGCGCGTTAGTTGCTAGAACACCAAGGATTTCACAAGCGGGTTAATGGTTAATAAAACAGAGTCATACTTCTCTGTCATAGCTAAGCCGAAGTTGCTTATAGCCAAGACAATATGTCACCATATTGGTACATTGACCTAACACTAGCACTATTATTAGAACTAATACTTGTCCTAGAACTAGAAACTTTCAAATGAAGCCGTGCTTGCCGTCTTCTGCGTGATAATCATAGTGCGCTGTATTACTTTGAAGAGGAAAATAATAACACCTTGTTGAATATGCAACAAGGCTACTAAATGCTGCAGATTGGCCCCAATGTTTTAGGAACTTAGACATGCTTTGCAAGGTTTAAATAATGATATGATTATTGGAAACTGAAGAAATACATATTTGTTTCCTCCAGGACATTTTCAAATCCTTGACAACATAGAAACATCATTGGATATAAAGGTTATTTACTTTTGGTTGCCATCGGTTGCAAAAACTATGTTGTTATTACTTCCTTAGTCCATGTTTATTATAAAAGGTTTTGATGAAGACCATCTTCTGATTGAGTTGCTGAATAGATCACCCGAAAAAATATATAACCAACATAGACAAAAAGGCTTGAAGAATATCATAGATAACAGTGATCTCTAACAAAGAGATTTCCTGATGCACTGAGCGTTGTTCATCCTTCAGAATGTATCTCTGTAATCTATTTAGGAAAAAATTGAAAACTTTAGACACTTTAAACTCTTGAAGCTTTCATGCATCACTTTGAAAACTAATACACTGCTGGATAAAATGAACTCACTACGACATGAGTGTATGTGTCGAGGAGAAGGAGAGAGATTTGTAAGTTGTAAGTAACAGTACTCTAATTTTCCCGTTTGATTATGGCTCTGTAATGTTTTGGGAGATATCCCAGCTTCGAAGCTTGCATATAACTTTTATTTTTTTTGTAGGCATTTCTGGCATTTTCTTGCTTCTTATACAGGGTGTCCGCTGAGGTATCCGAGAAACTTTGTATATGAATTCTATAATTAATTTTAAGCACAAATGATTCTATTCAGTTTTCTCGAATTCCAAACGGTTGTTGAGATATCGAGGTTTGAAGTTGACAGGTCGTATGAATAGGATGCTAAACAGTACAACACATTGCTAGGTTGGCTATGGAAAAGTTGCGGTTTATTTTAATAAAAGTTTAATGACACTGCAAATATTAAAGCTGCTCAATGTGACCACCGACTTGTGCAATGCATAATTCAATCCTTTGTCTAAGCTCTCGTTTCCAGTTGTAGTTCTCCATATTGTTTTTTACCTCTCGAAACGCTGCATGAATGTTTTGTATCTCTATTATTAGGCTTTCCCGTTGAATACGTAAGTGTCTTCACATGTCCCCACATGAAAAAATCTAGTGGGGTGAGATCCGGAGATCGCGGTGGCCAAGCAATGGGACCAC